GGGTAATAAGTATTCGCCAGACTGCCCATTTAGGATGCTTATAAATGGAAGCTCAAATAGCGGAAAAACTAACATGGGAATAAATCTCATGCTTGGTGACAAACTACAATGCATGTTCAATGAAAAAAAAGGTGATCGGTATATTAGAAATGATGATCTCAGATTAGTAGCCAAACATTTTGAACCAAAATGGCAACTTGTACAAAATAGCTATCGGATTTTTGCAAATGCTCCAAAACCATATCGAGAAGATGTTACATTTAAATGGATATTACCAGATAAGATTCCAGATATAACTAAATTCTCCCCGGAACGAAGTACAGTTATTGTTTTTGAGGATCTATGTGCTGAACCCAAAAAAGTGCAAGAACGAATTATTCCTTACTTTATTAGTGGCCGGCATCAAAATGTCTCACCCATATATGTAAGCCAGAAATATACACAAACACCTAAAATTATCCGCGAAAATATCTCACATTTATGCCTATTTCGGGGATCGGGTAGTAGAGACGATATTAGTAGAATCGTACGTCAATATACAGATGATCCAAAAAAGGCATCCAAGATTATTGATAAGCATTTGCGGAATCGTGAATTCGTGGTTTTTGATTTTACTAAGGCAGTAGACGATCCTTTAAGCGTACGGCTTGGTTGGGATACCGCTTTAAATCTTTCTAATGAATAGAGCGGGATTTCAGATATTCAAGGAACTTTTCTGCCTCTCGCAATTCTATCCTTTTTTCTTCGACTTCAGACCGTAATTTCTTATTGGCTTTGACCCGATCCTCATGTTCCATAGTAATTTCTTGCATAAATTTACCAAATGTTTTTTCGTTATATTCCAGTAATCGTTGACATAAAATATCTAATTCTTTCTTAACCCGGCGATTGATCTCCTCCTCACATGCGAAGCAAGGACACTTATGTGTCTGATCGCATTTACAGCTATTAGTATCTGAAGTTTGAATTTCTTGGTCAACCATATTTATATGTGTCTTGACACTAGCTTTGTTATTATACGATAAATTTTCAAGTGGTTCTATAATGTGGATTTGTTTTTTACGTTTTCGATTTAATCCTTTTTCATATACCTCTAATGTATGATATAAATAAGTCTCAATTCGATCACATTTTTCGGAAATTTGCTCTGATGTAACGGGAGATCTAGAGTGATATAAAAGCCTATGGTACGCTCTTTTGACCAGACTTTTTGGAAGTTTTGCTATAATGGTGTTGTAATCAGGATGAAACATTGATTATTAGTTTGCGCGCAAAAGTTTGCATGCAAAAAATATGGAATATACGTTAATAAAAAATCAAAGTGAAAAAAATGTTACCGACCCTCAGGATAACGAAATAAAGTCTAAGGTACTAGCCCTCAGGAATATTTTAGGCGGTTTATTCCTTTTTCCTCTCATGTTTGGAAAAAGATATGTGTCGCTATCTATTGTATGTAACACATTCTGCATCTATTTTTCTGGCTTCGAGTGATAGAGTCACGAGAAGGCGGGTTATGTGACTAAATTATATATTGTTAACTTTTCGCATTTCCTCTCGAACCGCCCATAATAACTGATAATGTAATGCTAATTCTGAAGCGCAGAGACCATCGGGTTTATACATATACTCCAACCATTTTTGAGATATGATATTTATAGCTTGAATCTTTCTTCCGACTTCCCTTGCACGTTTAAGTCTTTTAATCGCATTGCATTTCCATAACTCATAACGATGTAATGCATAGTTATTGTCATAATCATAGCTGGGCGGTACCGCGGAATTAGATTTCTGTTTAATTTTCAAATACTCTTCATAATTTACACCACAGTATTTATTACCGGTACATGAAAATTTCCAATGTCTCTCCATTCCTATATGGTTATAATTTCCTATATTCTTCTTTCTTTGTCCAGTATATACTAACTGATCACAAGAGAAACATATTGCTATTCCGATTTCAGGAGCATATGAACCACCATTCGGCAATCGTATTAATCTCCTAGCTTCAAGATATTTTTTACTTCCAGTGGGTAATAGATCATTCTCCCTGAAATACTGTAAGCGTGGCCAAATTCGATCCATCCACTCGCTAGGAGTTTCGTTATCACGAACTTGAGGCATCTTCAAAAGTTCTTCCCATTCAGCATCGGTGCAATTAGTTCCACGTCTTTCAGCTAAACTGGTCATTTTATTGATTATATGTGTTTTAGAGATTATGAGATTTATATCGAATTTAGGGTTTTAGACCTATTAGATTTAGCCTTGCTAGTTCCACTAATAACTTATTACTCTAGAATAACATGATTCAATTTTGTGCGATGCTCGAAGAACGCCCATAGAGCCTGGGTTATTAGATGAGTTGTGTATATTCGCCATATTTTGCGAGTGATATATACGATGAGAATGGGAGAGATCCATATGAATCTAAAGATTCGCCCCTTTGGGCCTGGGTTGTAGCGAGAATTGCGGTTTAGAGCTGATTCTAAAGAATTTATTTGTGACGATATTTATATATAATCGCTCGTGTACTGTAGATATATTATGATCTATTTTTAGATCGGGATTTTTTTCTTGGCAAAATTTCAGCGAACTATTTTGATGAAAAGTTCGCCCAAAACACGTGATTTTATCAGACTCGAACTTTTGAACATACCTACATCTTGTATAAAACAATGGGAGACACTCAATCCACAATTAAGACATTGAGAGAATTAAATTCTGATCTCGTTCGCCAGATCACTGAACTTAGAAAGAAGTTTGCTGAGGTCGAGGCTGAGAATATCGAGGTTAAAGCTGAGAATGCAAAGTTAAGACAGGATATGGAAGAGTATGAGATTAGATTCGCGAAACTAGAGCAGAATGATAAAGAAAAAACTGACCTTATTGCTAAACTAGATGATATCAAGGAAATCAAGGAGCAGAGTTTGCAAGACAAGGGTACGGAGTGTCATCGAACTGTTACTAATATTTCATCGCATATCGATGTGAGCCAGCTAAAGGTCGAGAACCAACCTAATGAGGAGGAAGCTATTACTCTCAATCCTATGCCCGAAATAGAACATAGCTCAATCCAATCCGAGGAATCAAAGATTCGAGGCTTATTGTGGAACAATGGCACTTACGTGCCTGCCTCATCACGAATAACCTTTCCGTCCATCGAAAACCACTCCGATAAAGAAACTTCAATACATTATGAAACAAATGATTCTGATATATACCAGAAGTCAGAGACTCGATGCTCCGCATCACCTATTTGCACGGAGCCTGTTGCAGAGCAACGCCATTACTATGGCAAATCATTGGAAGATATAGAGATCGATGAATTCCTGTATTCAAAGGATAAGAAAAGGGTTAGTAATATGATGAGAGAGAGGAATCGGGAAAAAAAACTTCAGTGCGAATCACCTAGCCAGGAGGCACACTCGATTTCCCAGAATACTGCGTCTATTACTTCCCGTGAGCGGAAAAACGAACAGGGCTTGATTCGAGAGATGATTTTATCTGAAGAAGAAAAGCATGTGACTGAAATTTCGCTGACCCAAAATTCGAATCAGGTCAGCGAAAATCATGTAAGTGATATAACTATACTTTCTGTATCAAGAAGTAAAACTTTACTAAATTTGGCCACCTTATATCGGAAAGCTTGTGATGCGGAAAAACAAGCAATAAAGGCCAATCAAGATGAAATTTTATGCTGGTACCATTACGTTATTGAGTTCGATAATCAAGTTAAAGACATTATGAAAAATGAGCAGGTTGGTGAGAAAAAAGCAAAAGGACAAATCTATAATTTTATTATTACACAGGTTGATACTAAACGTAATACATTACAGAAGCAAACAGAAAGAGCTAGAAAAATTTACAGCCTATTCGAAAAAATAGGTTTAGATAAGGTCCAATATATTAAATCATATAGTGCAAATGCTATTTCGAAATTTACTAATTCTCAGATTCAAACGATTATAGATCACTTTACCAAAAAGCCTGATATAGAATATACCGATGAACATGACAATTCTTCAGATGATCAAGATGAGTCAAAGACCCGAAGCTCTGCTTCCTCGGAATTACCAGAAGCTTCGGTAAATGCATCTACTGGAACCGAGGTAAGTGAAGTAAGTGATACAAATGCCAATGATAACAAACCACAATCTTTAATTACTGCTTTATCCGACGATGAGCCAGAAAATTTCTCCGATGACGATGAATTCACCAATGATAACGAAGAAGATGGGAGTTTCTGTGGTTTTTCTGATGACGATGATGAAGGTTATTATTATGATTTAAATACCGGCGAAACTTATACAAAATCGAACCGTTCGATCTATGCTTATTAGATACAGAATTCCTTGCTTCGCAGACAATAGACATTTATACCGATGTATCCGGCATCTGTGTGCCCGCCTTCTCGCGATTCTCACTCGAAGCCAGATATACTACAGATAACTAGAATAAACATATTTTTTTCCGAGAGACAATGAGGAAAAAGGGTACAATAAAGCAAATTTTTTTTATGACCCTTTAGGGGAGACAGAGTCTCGGATCTTCGATCCATCGCCCTTTCAGGCCTGCACGTCGCATCGATGTTTTTGATTAAAATATTGCCGTAGAAGTTCCATATCTGACACATGAACGGTGTATTAATTTTCCAGTGATAGGAATGTACGACACTCACCATTTAAGATCGCCCGGTCCGAGATAGACAAATCCGAGATATACAAATCCGAGGCATACGTATTCGTTAATTATACTTCTTTTGGTATTGCTTTGCGGTCGCAGGCTATACTCCGTCGATGGCTATTCACAGTTAATTCGTGGTGCTATCGTAGTGTTATCGTGGTTTTATCTCAGTAGAAATTTTCCTATATATTCTATATGCATCGTGGTTGAATCGCAGTTTAGTCGTAGCAGAATTGCAAGCCCGAAGGACGATCCAAAGATCATGTGGACCAAGGAACACCTGCGCTTATTAATTGACGAGAGAAAAATTAGGACGTTGAATATTACGATATCATGGGTATTAGTAGAGAGGATTTTTGGAATAGCGTCGCAAATAAGATCAATGGGCAATTTAATACCACTTACACCGGATACCAATGCAAGGGAAAGTTCCAAAGTCTCGTAAAAGACTATAATGTAAGTATTTTGGGGAGGTGGGCAACTTATTCTACAATTGTATTTCCAACTAATCTCTTGCTATGGGGTTATTACTAGTCGATGTGCCTGTATATGGCGGGTAGTAGTTCTGGTAAGAGAAGCAGAACAGGCGAACGATATTTTGAGGAATTTCGTACTCGCTTTTGGGAGAGACCTGGTAGGAATATAACTATTAATAGTGATTGGCATTATTGCAAAGCAGGCCCATAGGGGCGACTCAAAGAGTCATGGGATAAGCTCTGCCCTATAAATTGTAGCGTTAACATAAACAATACTAGAAACGCATTTTGATCAAATACATAACGTAAATACATCCTCGAGAAGAAGAGAAGAAAGACGGCGAAACCGCACTCCACCACCAACCTACGAAGAAGTTTCATCAATGCTAAATACGAGTCGCCGTGAATCTCCTGCTGGTCAAAGGGATCGATCCGCATCTCCAACCCGAAGAATTCCCAGCAGAAGAGACGAAACTATTAATCAAGATAATGCAAGTAATGCCGTTGGGCACAGCTCCGCTGATGTAAATGATGCGGGTGGAAATTCAGGCCGTAACGCAAATAATGCGGATGGGAATTCAGCTAATAACGCAAATAATGCGGGTGGAAATTCAGGCCGTAACGCAAATAGTGCGGATGAAAATTCAAATAATAATACGAGTCATAATGATACGCACGGATTATCATCCAATATACCCGCATCACGGAGTGACAGTGATCTTAGTATGCCTGATGTTGTAGATAGTCAACCACCTCATATGGAATCTATAAATGAAGAGGGGCGTTAGATTTCGTCCCGCTACACAGAATTTCGTTTGAAAAAGCAATAGCGGAGCTAGCGTCTCTGACACAAAATTTAACACCTTGTGCTTGCTCCCAAGAAAAAATAAAAATCACATGACTGCGAGACAAATCTGTTCCGGAAAAATTTCTACCAAAAAGTAATGTGATACACGCATTGTGCAACCGAATACATTTCTCACATATACTCATTTATATTAATTAACGATATTTATTTTACTGTTTCCGGCATTGCACATGATTAACAAACGCGACCCTCTTTATTATGAATAAAAATGCCTTGAAGGCGATAAACGATACAAATACAAATTTCGTGAAATATATATGGCATTACATGGCCCGTGAAGAAACGAAAAAATCTAATTGCTTATTTCGAAGAAATGACACTCTGTGTCTAAGGGGGGCTAACAAAAATGTGAATTTGTGCCGTCTCATCAATATACTCAGAAATCAATGCTGTCGGTCTCATTTCTCTTTCTCTTACGATATCATTTGGACGATGCGCGATAAGACGGATTTGGGTAGATCGAATAGGGGCGCCAACCGTTTCTTTATTATAGGCCTGAGTGAGTCGACCTTTTTTTGCTTCGAAATCTCGATTACAAAAGTTTCATTCTCTTGCTGGTTATCATGAATGTAAAGGTGAAGGCTAACAATTTCTGTATTGTTGATGGCCATTTGTGGATCTTGCTCTATAAAAGTATAAACCAATAGTGAATAGACTATGTTTGCCAGCACAAAGTGTCATTTCTCCCGAATTAGGCAATGTAGTTACAAAAGCATACACCGAGATGTAGACACATACCTGTTGCTACGCGGGAAAAAGTTTTCCTAAAAATTGCGGAGACTTGGGAGCTGGAAATCAGAGATTCGAATCATAGTTTCAGTAAATACCACTCCATTTATAGATCGGGTCTGCAAGCAATATCTCATTATAGAACCTGCTAGAAGAAACATATTATTAGCACAACAATATTATGTCATTCATCTACCAGAAACTCATGATTCAGATCTACCGAAGGCTTACCTTCTCAAGAACATTCATTGCGCCAAGAACTCGATACAAAGACAAAGCCTGTGAATATTACACAATTCTTGGGGAAATTTAACCGCTTTGGGCATGACGATCTCCACATGCGAGACGCAAAAACTGCCTCCTGACGATCTCAGTGGTCGAGATTCCGCTTCCCACTACTTGAAAGTCTTCAGCAGTAGCACTACTAGAAGTTGACGACGACTCTTTTCTTATAGAATTTCTACACTTCGTTTGTGTTTATTCTTATTATAGAAGCAGGAAGACAAAGTGAAAGACATTTTTGGTGGGAAGTCAGTGGAAAATTTTTCAGTCGCACAATACGTTGTATCCCTTAAATTACGACAATCTAATGTCACGAGTCAAATGATGTTAGTATGATGCTATATATACTCCATTGTGAAACCGTCCGTGAAACCGTCCGTAAAATACGAAAAAATGTCTTTGTCGCTCCGTCTCGTTGCGAGGTTTTCTCGTTCTACCTCACAACCAGAGAGATTTTTCTCATCTACTGCTACATTACTTGACAACAAACTTTCGAAGTCACGAGAAATCGTCAGGGACAGACTTAAGAGACGAGGGCTTGCCAACGACCTCGGCATTACAGCATCTAGTTTCACGAATGAAGATTTAGATTTACTAAAAGTAAGCTTCGAACCAGCTTTACGGAGCGAGGTCCTCCCTAATTGTATAGAAGGTACGAACTACGCTGTGTCAACAGTCCTCTTAGCGAACCTAATACTTATAATTTAGATATTGTTTAGACACTTGCTCTTGCTTGCTAGAGAAATATGCTCTTCCCGAAGTTGATTATAAAACAATCATGGACAAAGAGTTTAATGTTAAAAATATTACCAAATTTTCGGACAACAAAGTCAAAACATTTATAAAGGATCTACACCGAGTTGCCATGAATTACCGCTCTGATGAAGGCATGGATGAAGCTAAGACTGACAGACTGGTGAATAATTTACTAGTTCAGACTTTTGGCCTGTCTGAATGGCCCTTGAATGTTAGGTGAGCAATCATGAGAAAGGTCTTTTGTTTGCGATGTATTCAATGATTTCTTAAAATTTACATTATATCCAAACTTAGTCCACACCCGCCATGCTCTCTATGCATCCTTGGCGAACCTTACGTTACAGCGCAACCTGACTTTGTGGTCGATAATGATGATATTTTTGTGGTTGTTGTAGAGGTCTGTATATTTGATCGTTTGGAAATCCTTATTTTTGTCGACTCAGATAATTTTCTTTTAACAGGATAAACATCTAGAAAAGGGCCCTTAACAGTACGAAAGGTTATGGAGAAGCTCAATTGGCTGCCGAGATACTCGCGTGCGCTGACGAAAATAGGCGTCGAATGCAACTTGAAACTCGTGTAATCACGGATCAAACTGTAGTTGGTGTTCGCGCCGTCTCCACATATTTTACGTTTTACAAAGCTGTAATTCCTACAGCATATTGGAAGGAACTCGAAGTCGGTTTACCGACAAAACAATCAATTGTGTTTAAACGATGGCCAGGGGATGATCGTCCAACGACTGGTCTTGACATTGCGAAACCGGAGGCAAGACGAGAAATGCTAATAGCATTTTCCAAAATTCGCCAATTTCTTTTGCAATATAATCAGTTGTAATAGCGCGTGAAGAATCTTCACGCCGATCACTTTGCCAAGAAAAAAAAATAAACACAATTGATATATTTGCGAAAACCTTTATTTAACCCGTGATGATCAGACCCTCTTTGAGGTATCAAATTGTTACATAATCTATTTCAGGCGTTAAGCGGAGCAATGAGGTTTCCCGCTACAAGCATATGATTTATTTTTCCGGCGACACCCATCATACATCGATCAACAAGATATCAACCATAGTAAACAGCGTAAATGATATCGATATCATTATGCATAGATCGTGATATGATATCACAACGTCACGTGACCTTTTTTCCCGTTCGAAAAAAGATATATAGCTAACTGCTATCTACTATATATTTGAGAAGCTAACTAAAATATCTGACTTCGGGCATATGATGCGAGAAGGCGGGCTGAATATTACGAAAGTGAAAGTTGGGCTAAAACATAATCTATATCATCCTGGGAAATACTTGATAAGGTTACTACTGTAAAGCTCTGAATCCGCTTGATCTTATCGACTCCAATTTCATTAAATAAATCATAAATCTTTTGGGCCCGCTCTTTCGTTTTTCGAAGCAAGCTCGGGCTAACCGATGGAAGTTGAATTCTAACCTCATTATTAACTAACCCTTGAGCCGTACGTTTAGGATTGTTTTTTTTGTAGTGATTGAATCGTTCCTCGAGTGCTTTCCCAAAATAGAAAACGCAGAAGGAGTAGCAGGGTTCGTCATAACCTAGGTCGGTGAGTATCTTATAATCGAAATCGATCGGAAGCATCAAGCTGATATACTTTATATTATATGTAACCTGACGATTAAAACCAGCTACTGTCGTCAAACTGATATACAATGTATCATATGTGTCATGACGACAAAAATCTGACACCGTCGTCAAAAATGTGTCGTGACGACAGAAATGTGACACCATCGTCTGTGTCATGACGACCGAAATGCGACACCATCGTCATCTTGAGTGGAAATAACCTAGACTAAGTGGGAACAACATATATTATGTTGTTCCCACTGGTATAAAAAAGCAGCTGAACAAGGAGATGCTCAAGCACAATTTAATCTTGGTTGGTGTTATGAAAATGGAACTGGAGTAGAAAAAGATGAACAAAAGGCAGTTGAATGGTATAAAAAAGCAGCTGAACAAGGACATGCCAGTGCTCAATTTAATCTTGCTAATGGGTACAGAAGTGGAGCTGGAGTAGAAAAAGATGAACAAAAAGCAGTTGAATGGTATCAAAAAGCAGCTGAACAAGGATATGCTGATGCACAATTTAACCTTGATTTATGTTATGAAAATGGAACTGGAGTAGAAAAAGATGAACAAAAAGCAGTTGAATGGTATAAAAAAGCAGCTGAACAA